GCCATGTGTTGTGGTGGCAGGCTTTCAACAAACCCGTCAGGCCGGACAAGCCCAAATCCCTACACGAACGTCAGCGCACGCCCATATGTGAACTACAGGTTGCCAGAAGACACTCATTTGCAAAGTGTATTGGTGTTGAGGCAAAACTCAAATAAAAAAACCTTAGCACAACCACTAACCCACCGCTACACACCACCACGCGTTGGAATGCCATATACCCATTGGGTTGGGGAAATCAACTGGCATAGCGTAGACTACAGCGAAAAATCTACATGGGATGCAGACATGACTGTGCACCAAAGCTCCGCATGTCTGAAACTATATTCAGGTTGGATAGCACTTTATGGCTACACAGGTTTCCAGCTGACGTGGTTAATAAAAAGAGACCACTATGCACTAAGGATTTAGGAAACGCAAAGCTCAAGCACGCAAGACCTATTAGTTAAGTTCAAGAGCAGGAGTAAGGAGTTTCGAGATAGCCCATCGTGCGGCAAGTGGATTAAACTTATGTAATGGTAATGTAGATTTCTAAACTCTGTTTTACACTGTACCAGCGTGCTTTCCTGCCGCGATTTGACAGGGAACATTTAGTTAGAAGACAGAACCAGGAAAAGCTCGGGGAGTTGGAATAATTGACTGAAGCATAAGCCGAATCTGCCTTGCTATGGCCACACGATTAGAATTTAAAACAGATTACATCTGGTCTGAGAGATCCAAGAAACGCTGTAATTACGTTTTCCTTCGAAAACTCCACACACATTCTCATGCTTACCGGAATTCGCGCCACTTGCGTGCACCTCTTTCACAAATAGTGTGATGGACTCGATCAGAATGACAGTCATCTTTCTGATGCGAAAGCGACACACCACCGATAAGCGATAGTGACGAGCGTTGCCCAATCAGTGAAACCTCCACACCAAGGCCATCAACTCAAAGGCATTACTGTCCCAACTATTTCACCGTACTGCTAGAACACTTCAAACCCAGTGAACTGATGAGTTATTGCTTGACTGTACCTTACTTGTCAGTGCATTCCTAGGTGGATGGTGGAACTGCGGTAACTGGAACCAAGAGCCTTGATAGATGGTTCACAACTGAATAACGCAACCGAGCTGGAAGCGAACCACAGCTTGACGTCTCACAGTAAGCTGAACAATGCACCGTTCAACAGTACTTATGAGAACGTCACAATACGTTGACCGGACAATTAAGTGATCGAGACTTGATACTCACAAAGATGACCACAAATTGAAAAATATGTTGGTATATCATGCGCGATGTGCATCCTGGATGAGAGCAACCGCAGTAATAACCCAGATACACGGAACTACTTGTCTCCGAGGTACGCACAGTGTAAACGTTCCGAACTCACCGTGGGGATGCCAGAGAGACCACAAATTGAAAAATATGTTGGTATATCATGCGCGATGTGCATCCTGGATGAGAGCAACCGCAGTAATAACCCAGATACACGGAACTACTTGTCTCCGAGGTACGCACAGTGTAAACGTTCCGAACTCACCGTGGGGAATGCCAGAGACATTTTACTGAGTGATTTTTCTCCAAACTGCGCAGAGTCTCGCTTAACACGACCCGGTCGGTTTCTTTCCCCAGTGTTCCTTGGTGCGTACAGACACTCGAGTTGCTCGGCCTTCATCGTTAATTCTAATATTTGTAAGTCGCGCTGTTTGTGGGTTTCTGAAAGGTTTAGTGGGAAAACCGATATATCGCATCATACAAACACCTTGCAGGACAAGTACGCATTCCGGAAGACTCTAATTGGTAAGTGATGTTTAGCCCAGTAGGGTTCAAATTATTAAATCCTAATATAAAATAGCCAGCTACCTAGTTACTGTTTTAACCGAAACAGAAAACAAAACATATATGGATAGTCCAGGAGCGATGGATTCATAGCTACAAGACTGATGCGTTTGATTACAAATTCGACGGTCACTGTTTCGATGAGCTTATCTTGGAAACCAGTGAATAAGACTGACCTGAATTCGGCAAGACACCCGGACAAACAAACGGTGTTCGAGAAAGTGAAGAATCTACTCAAAGTGCAAGTGAATCCCATGACAAAATTATCGCACGTTTCGTATTTTCTACCATCAATTCGTCCCTAGAGTGGAATGAACTGGTTTTTGGCCAGCAGGTATCAAATCCCATCAGAAAACAAAGTAGAAATTTGTAAGGAAAGGATCCGAAGATGGCGTCAAATGCTAAAACAAAGTGGGAAGTGAGCGCGGCACAATTGTAGGACCACCCCATAGCACAGTTCCATCGTGCTTTAATTCTATAACAAATTTCTGTCAAGTCAACCCCTCTACAATTTAACTCGATATGTTTTCGGCTAGTGCCTGGATGACATTTCGAAAAAAAACTTCTTCATTCCCCTCATAGTGCAGCTACAAACTCAGTTTATGGATCATAGGTACTTGCAACATGGTATAGGTGTATAGGTGTACTGTATGCGTTCTGATGTACATCGGGAATGCAAGTTATCCAGTCTAGCACCCATAGACCAAGCATCGGCAGGCAGCTCTTGGATGCAACACAAGACAACGTTCAACGCTGTTTTGTCGACAATTCGGTATTGCCAATTCGCTCGCTCCATTTCGACGGATGTAGCCCAAATAGTCACTCTTCGAGTAACACTAATTCGTTGTGTGCCATGTCTGTAGTGCCTTCGGGTAACTGAGAGGGAATTTCTTCACGCACCAGAAAAGAGGTCCATCCCGGACTCCAGTGATAGGAAAATAAGTTAAGGTGGCTTTGAATTTTGAGCCCTATAGGTCATTCAGAAAGATTTGATCACTTTCACGCATTACAGAATCGATGTGGCTTACCCAGATTTTTGAAGACTCGCGTCACCACGGGACAACAGACAATGTTCTCTAAATCTGATATGTTTCAAAATGATTCATTTTGGGAATGAACTTGATAGCAATAGTGAACGGTTTATGAGATTATGCTGAATACACCCAGACAGTGAAACATTCAGTAGTATCGGTCGTTACTGCAAGCAGATGAGAGGGCTGGATATTTAAACAAAACAACGCAGTTCTGCACCTTTCCCACCATCAACAGCTGACTTCTGATAGGTAGCATAATACTGTCAGACGGCAGTCTCCGTCAACGCTAGACTCAGAATACATGAAGTATACAAACCGAGTGAACAGTGTTACAAACGCCAATCTCAGCTTGCAACCGCGTTGAGGACTGGGATGGATGTGGCGCTCGTGCTGTCAGTTTCTTTCCAGATTGTCTGATTGAACGGTTGGAGGTGTAGACACCTCAGTATGCTTGACATCGGCCAGCACTAGGTCCCCTCCCTCACCCACTCTTGCACTGATGTTGCTGTCTTTGATGATGATGATGATGACTGGGATGGAGAGGTTTTAGTCGAAGTGCCACTGAGACGCACGTTAGGAATGTGACGAAGCGAACCAACGAGAGGTTACTATCGAAGTAGGGTTCAATGAAATGGCTTGACTGGGTGTTCCCACAATCTGCATTCAATCTCCACCTTTCCTCTGGAATTCTCACGTCAGTTCCTTTAAGTACTTTGCTTATAAAATTCCGACTTTGCTTTCTGATGAAATTTGCCACCAGCTGACCGAAAACCAGGCTATTCCACTAAGCGAAGTTGCGAAAATAGGAGTTGCTCGATAACATTATCATGGTGTGTGTTTTGCTGAACGTGCCCAAACCACCGAACATAAGTGAACCAGATCCACGGTTCTTTCGCCTATCATGTCACTGTAACATTCTGATTCACTTGCTTATGAAACCGGACTACTCGCTTTTAATAACAGACAGTCACGGGAAAGAAAGGATGCCCAAATCGGTTGCAAGCAACTGGGACAAAGCTTACCCACAGATGCGCACGTACGTACTACTAATTTGAAAAACCCGAAGGCATCATGGGACACCAACAAAGCAAACGAAAACTGGGTGTGGGACCGACTGGCCGATTGGCCAATCAGTTAAAAGGTCGAACCGGGAAGCCACAACTGGGAAACCCGCTGGTAACTCTATTAGTATATCATTTTTAAGAGATGGGGGCTTTTAGAATCCAATATAGAGTATAACAGGGATTTAAGAAAGAGGAATTTTCTAACGATGAGGGTAAAGGCAAGTGTTACAGCAAATTTGGAGCAAAATCTGCATCAGAAGAACTGAACAAGCTAGAAACCAAGAACACCGCTTTTATTGGTCGATAGCAGGAGAAAAGAGGGGTGTTATAGAGAGAGAGAACAGAAGTAAATAACTGGGCCATATAAACAGACGAAAATGTTGGGCAAATCCTACAGTCTTCTTTAATTTCTGGCTAACAGAAGATAGGAGGGAAGGAGGCTCAAAAGACACCGTTGGTTGCTCTGACCAAACTATGACCAAACTCCCGGGTGATAGCCGTTGGCGTATAACCAGCCTTGTAACTAGCAAGGACGTATCTAACCCGACTGAAGATTGCCTTTTATGGGAATTCGAAGCACTAGCATATTCACAGAGGTCAGAAGGAACACAATAAGTAGCGCTTGAGCCATTGAGTGGGTTTTGAATGCGAGGAGACTAACCATAGCCACAGACAGGCAGTGTTCTCGGTATGAAAATTAGATCTCCCGATAAATAACTCATGGTTGAAGTTGACGCGTACCCTCAGGGGAAAATGCGATAAGAGTCTGTGGGTTTAGAAGTAAAACCGAGTTGACAGGTACGACAGTTTTCAGATCAGCCACGGGAACAGAAGAGGACACCATTATTAGCCACAATGCGCGGGCCAGTTGCACAGCGGCTCCCGCTGCTGCACTTTCGATAACCGATAAAACGGATTGAAAGATGCATCATGTTATAGCGAGCAATGAGGAAGTTCGGCTAGAAAGAGCAGAATTTCCGTGTGCACAGGCAGAGAAACACGTGTAGGGATGGGTGCCGATTCATAGTTCATCATCTACTTAGCAGCGACAGTGCAGTACTTTGACGTTGAAGATGGATGAGATAACCAGATTCGGTGGTCGGATGACAAAAACTGAAAGACCGAATTAAATTTGAGTGGGAATACCGTAAAATTAAACTTCGAAATAACCGGATAGCGCAGATTTATGCTTTCGCGTCCGCGTGAAAACTTGTACATCAGCATAAAAACCCACGGACTTGACGGGGTAAATCACATAAGACCCACAAGTTGGCTGCTGGTATCTTGACGGATGAGAACGTGAACCATCATCCACCCGAAGTCCTGGTGCAGCACACAGAATGGAGGCTAGCTTAGCATAAAGTACAGTTAATCAGAGGAAGATCTAGAGTCAACTATCCCGGTCAGCTATCTAAGAATTCTAACCAAGTAATAGCCGTAAAGTGATAACTTACAGTACACACAAAATCCAATAACGTTATTAGTGATCATAACAACAGAATTACGGAAGGTAACCAGACGGATATAAATAGAGCAGGAGGATAGGTATCTTACTGCTGAGCTCGTTGATTTCGCGCACGGAGTTATGATAGGAAGTGAGCAGCTCTTGCTTCATCCAGTTCTGTTGTCGTAATTTGTTTGCCAAACGCTCCGCTTCTGCTTTTGCCGTCTGCAACCAATGCAACAATGTCTGTTGATCGATAGGGTCTTCGGTAGAGCTGGAAGGTGGAGGTCGGGATATTTGTGTGGATCGCTGCTCCTCAACTGCATTCATCGCTATTGTCTGTTTCAAGTTTAACTGCATAGATCGGCCCCGACCCACTGTTTGATTCTGACGGTTTCTGCTGCTTGACAGGACTCGCAGTTGTTCATCCAGCTGCCTTAATGCCACTCGTTGAGTGTATACTTCTGATTCAAGAGCATGCCGGTGTTGACAACAACTGGCCTCTAAGACCTCCGCGGGTGGACCTCCTACTCGCGTCCGACTGTCATCCAAAACCGCTTGAATCCCGGGACTGAAACGCGACGATTGAAAAGTAAAATTGCAGTTGTTAATGTAAGAGTAATCAAAATGACCTCAAAGGTAAAAACGATTCCCTCAGACCTAACCGCCAGTACCACACGCAGCAAGTGGTAGAATGCCAGTTCAGGTACCAAAAGAGGATATATTTATTATGTGAAGAGACCCGAAAAAACAGTCTTTATCTGCAAATCCCTTAATTCGACACAAACTCATCTGGAAGATCCAATATTGACTGGACAATTGGAACCAAAGAGCAAGCGACGCGTACCTTTTAACAAATGAATTTACCTAAAGCATCTAGTATCTATCCGTTTCAGCTTGATCTGTATGACTGAGTACTGAAGCCAAGGTAAGGTTTTAAGGACATCAGGAGATCAGACGGCAAGAAGCGAGATGAGCATCTCTTGTATATCGAAAACATGGTGCAAAAGAACTGTTGCTTGAAGTAGGAAAAAAATATTAGAAGCGGGCGAGCCAGTAGACAAGAGTTGATGTCTAACAGATTGAACGATTCTGGACAAAATATCTGGCGAAAAGCAGAGTGTAGCTTCCCCTCTTTTAAGCAGTGCATAAGATCTTCAAATGCTGTACGAAAGACAGGCGTACGAGGGACACAGAATGGAAAGTTTTTTACTCGTTCTCCCTACGTAAGCAACAATTTCGAATACTAGGCAGCAAACTGCTAGGATACGTGTTAACCTGTAGGTGAGAATTGTGTGTGTGTGTACACTGTGATAGACATCTCGGCTAACCGAAATGATACTGACGGGATACGGTGACGATGCACGTGACAAATAAAACCATCACGAAATGTTTGTGCAGATTTTACAGTTGAGCTTCTTGGAACGTATCCAATATACACGATTCAATCAACAAAACAGGTTCATGAAAGAGATATCTAAAGCATCTGAATATCTCTTGAACCTCAAGTGTCCAAGGGTAGTCCAGAAATTACACGTTTACAGTAGATGCAGCTGGCAAGGCAACAGAAGCCACAGCGGGTTGACCGGTATGGTTTAATTTGATTAATAAAACTCTGGAGACAGGGTGCAGGCGATGAGAAAACAAGAAGTGGAACAGTAGAGCAATACTGCACTGAGATTGAATTCAGTACGCAGTTCTTCAATCGTCAGATTTCAGTGTTCTGGAAAAAGCACAACTGGGCCCAGGGAAATATTTATCGTCGTGAAAAGCGACGTGTTTGCAATGAGCACGTTATCAATAATTATGTCCATTGACAGATACGGGTGCACCCTGTGCCCAGTAACGGAGAACAACGTGTAGAAAGCTTGAAAATTTAAGTTCCAAGGAATCTGATAGCGAGAGCGCTGTCGAAAAGGGAAATTTTTGGGGTTCAAGGAATCTTACGAGAATAAGTAAATGCCGCATTGTTTGGTCCGTCCGACCAGTGAAAGCGCGGTTGTCGAGGTATGTATGATCTATTTTGCGAAAGCATGCATAAGCATTAAAGCTGTGATGCTATAACCGATACATCACAGTAGGTGTAATAATCCCAGGGAGAAAAATACTCACAAGAGTGGGCGACCATTCAATCTATCTACAAAGTGCAATGATAGATGGAACTGGCGGAATGAATATGCGTAAACAGCTCCTGGAGATGGGGTCAGTTCTCTGCTCGAGTGACGGAGGACAATAGCATGTGATTAATACTTATAGAGTCCAATAAATTCAGTCAGACTGAGGGTCAATGGGGTACTCTTAGTCAAATTCTTCAAACAGCTGCCTAAATCTAAGTATCAGAGTGCTTTTTTAGGTTACACTACTTGTTTCGTGTTTTTAGCCTATTCGGTATCCACCATTCCTATAGGGTGGGGGTCACCGACTATGAGTTCCTGTCTCTCTTCCGAAACGATCATGTAAGCACTGAAAAACAAAGCACACAGTACGTACAGATTGTCGATTCTTGTAAATAGTATACGGATAAAAACAGTAATGTAGGGTATGATGCTGAGTCCAATTCTTCTACTACCGTGGGTAATCTCTGTTGATGGTTTTTTACAACTAAGCGAATACACTCAAATAAAAACAGCACAATAAGTCAGTCATCATTTGTAGGGATCGGTTCTACTGTGACCTTAGAATCAACGTCAGGGATGAGTGTGTGTGACTGTGTGATGTGTCCATGTCCTAACGCGTGTGTCTGGGTCCTGAATAATCCACCAAGTTTTCGTTCTTGCGTCCGGCCTACGTACATGGTCGTGTCATCAAAATCCATAGTGAGGATTGGGCCGATCAACGTGATTGATACAGGTCGGATGCGCATCAATTTTTGGGGCTTTACCACAGAGTTCAGATACGACCTGAAGCTCGATTAGAGAATGTGTGCACTAGCAATTCAATCTGACGGTTTTGCCCAAATGCGTACAGGGCTGTAACAGTCACGTCCGATTTTCATTCTATAGAGTTTCCGGGGAAAATCTGTGTTAACCTATTCGCACCTTTGGTTGTCTGGCTCTCTGACATTCTGCGCAATAAACTCTGTATATTTCATACTCACATCACTCTCGTTCGAAGAATCCTCCTCTCGTCCTTGCGTAATTAGTCTAAGGAGTCCGTAGTAAGAAAGGGAAGCACTGGACTCGATTTTCATTCTTATCAGAGCTCACCAGCAGTGTGTATCCTTGGCCGTAACGAAGGTGTAAACTGCGGACATCTGAGATGCGAGGCAAGCGTTACCACTACTCCACCCCCGTACGCTAGACAGACCTGAATTATCACGTTTGGACAGGCGAAGCCGGTCACGCTTGGGAGACGTGACTGGCCTGCCAGACGCATACACAAACCGAACGACGTTGTGCGGCGGTTTTTCGACAGCACTGTCGATTCGAAAGTAGATACTTATTTTTCGACGGCATCAGAGGAACCGGGCGCGATAAATGGCGTTCAAACATTAGTCAACAATCAACAGGTCGAGAGAGCTCAGTGGTTAAGGTGCGAACCGACCCAGCTCCCAGTGCTCTTATCTAGACTTAGCCCGGCGGTATCTCAGCTCTCGTGCTTCCTTCGGATGGCATGACATTTATACATAGGGAGGGTGCTAAAGCTGAATGACTGTCATATTATTATTAGTGCTGCGGCAACCTAACTTCTCAAATCCTCGTACCTGGCCAATATCCAAAATATAATCAAGCACTACACACACGAGTAGAGCATGTGTCGCACATCTGGATCATCAAAACATAGAAGTTCACCAAACTTGTGTAGCGTACTCTCTCACAAAACCCCTCTTATTGCTTTTGCACTGAGCTGCCTCGCTTTGACTTAAGTGTGAATTTTCCTCCGCTTCATGGATGAGCACATTAGCAGAGAATCGATCCGTAATGAAGTCGACAGATTCTCCTTGCGTCACATTCGCTTCCAGTTAGCTGGGACCCGGTATTCAATCTCATTACCCAGCAGTGAACCTTACAGTGCGGTGCAAATAGTTGAAACATCTAGCACCAGCTTTTGGGATATATTCCCACTCAGCATGCGGATAAATAATGATCACTCGGGGGCCACCGATGCGTGGAGAACGTAACCTGGCGGGAATGGTTGAGCGAACCAGTTGCGAACTCATCCGTCACTGACAGCTTTCCCGAAAGCCTAACATCCAATCCACTGTTACGAACCAGGTCGTTTGACTCGTGTTGTTTTCAACAATCTTCCTTTCCACCGGTGCCATAGGGAAAGCTGGAGCATTGCTGTCACGTCCTGACTGTACGTGGAGGCCATCGATAACTACCTATCATCCGGTTGACGACCTCAGGTAGGTTTCGCTATTTGTGCATCTTCGCGCGCGCTCAACGCTAAATCAGTAAACCGCTTGTTAAAGCTCGACAGGTCTAACTATCCAATATTCTTAAGAGGGCGGAATGTACTGTGCACCTGTGATTGTACGGGTATGATAGGAGGACTGACCGCATGATCTGCACTGGCCAGAGAGCAACGCCTGCCGTGGCCCTGGCAACGATACGTGCGATTGACGCAGGTGCGCACGTGAGCACACCTGTGCGAGAAAGTGACATTGGGGTTGAATGAGTGAAGTCTCAGGTGTTGAACTAGCCACAGCAGGCTAACCCACAAATAACTACCAGGGCGGTATATTGATCCTCTTCGACCACCTTAAACGCTCACTGAAGTCGAGGCATTGTTCACGAAACGAATGACAACCATCTTTGACAAAGGCAAACTAAGACAGAACAGAAAAAGCGATATACTGAAATAAAGGGCTACAGAAGTTAAACAAACTCATTCCAATTCAAAGTCATCCGAATTTGTCGATGCAGAAGAAAAGGTGGACAGAAAGCCTAGCGAAGCCTAACGGCACTTTTGAAAGAGGTCATTTTGAGTTTAACCACAAAAATCTCCAACAGCATGTGAAATCATCTTGAAGCCAGCTGTCCGGAAAAATCTGACAAATGTTCGTCTCCGAAACACTGTTTTTCTTAAAAACCAGACACACCCGAAAGGGTCAGCTTTCGAACAAGAGAGCAGCTTTGGATGCAATCAAGGAGAACAAGTCTCCATATACTGCTTAAACCGTCAAACGAATCAAGACACGTTTCGCTGTTTCATCTTTGTGTATTCACCTGGCTGTAAAAACCTTTCACAACGGTTACCCATGGTAGCCGAAACACTGGGACTACAGTATCACACCCTACAAAGCTTTGATTTATAAACTTTGCAATACCATATATTGATTGGGTCAATTATTAATTCGCAGTGTGGCTGTGATACCGACAACGTGGCGTACATAGCCTGTCACGATGATTCCGAAAGGTAGGTGGTAAACACATAAATACCGACAGGAAAACAATGCGGATACTGTTCACGTCACTCGACCGAAATAGCTCGTAGGTGATAAACCGAACAAAGGGCGTGCCTGATTTTAGTAGCAGTTTGCTGGAGAAAATTTTTCCACTGGCAAGAGGTATATATCAATACGAGGAATATGTGATGTTTGAAGTCTCCCGTGCTGGATTAATTTGTGAAACGAAAGTAACATCATCTGCTATCCGAAAAGCCTCGATCGAATATGGCACCCTGGTCCTCTCTCCAGATTGCGAATTTGTAGGCTATGCTTGAGTACGACCGGCTGGATGGCAGGCTAATTGACAAGCCAATCAATTTGCGTGCGCTTCTGTTGGTTGTGTTCGTGGATTATAGCATCAGCGCGGGAGTCCCTCAATGTTCCTTTTGTTCTACTAAACCATTTCGCCGATAGAATATTTTCCGCAGTTTCCTCAGACAATCACGCACACGATGACAATGCTGCCGTTTATTACTCCATGTTTTATTCCTCTCGACACCCTTCCTTTTGTCGAACTTTCAGCGGCCGGCTAGAATAACTACTGTGAACGCCAATGTCGCCAAAACCGAGCATTAAAACAGTACAAACACCTTGTCCTTCAGCCTTTCTAAATTCCTTCATATTTCCCTTACACTTCACAAGTTCCCAGTTTTTTTTGTTCGTCCAACTTTTCACCGTTCACAATACTGATTTCGAATCGAGGGTGTGGAACTTGTGAGCGTATGAAAGGCGGTCTTAGATAAGCCGAGTTGATACGTGACTGTGTGGTTGTCAATCCACGTAGTATCATTAACGAAAACAGGGTGGTCGGGGTGGAAATCCCAACCCGACCAAAGTTCACACAACTTACACAACTATCCGAGCACTAGCTCATCCACACAGACGGATAGAAAGTGCAAACGACACTCAAGAAGGATCATCAAGTGGACCGAACCAGAAGAACTAGACCCTAGGCTGGACCCAAACCCATTTAGGTTCCCCATCGCCCCAACACTTGGTCACCCACCCTAACACACAAAAAAATCTCGTTCGACACCCAACAGAGTTTTAGCTTGACATAGCTGATTGGTTCTCCTTCCACCTTAAATTTTGACCAACCTCTTAAGAGAAACGTTGCCCAGCAACTAATCTACCGATTGTTATCAAACTTTTTTCCGAAAACTAATTCCGAACTTACCTTGGCCCACTCAGGTCAAACGTGACAATGAAAATGCGTCTAAACTGATTTTTTTCAGGACATATTCGACTTGGTGTTCTCCATAGATTTGACCTATCTAAAATTTCGTTGTAGCGTCTGAGGTTGGGCTGCTCATGTCGACCTCTTTATCGCGGATCGATCCTGAAGAAAGACCATTCACCTCATTGCTACCCTATTCTTTCTCACTGTAGCGTTCCGCTTCCTGTCTTATCATGACTACCATAGCGAATGTCCCTCCCAACTCGCTCCTTCTAACTTCCAGTCGTTCCAACCGCCTTTGTTCTAGTCACTCCCCACTATCAAAAAGACATTTTCACTCATTGATGCTCCCCATGCCCACCATAATCTCTCCTTATCATCTCGAACTTTCAGTTGAAAAGCTTTGATTGGAGTCGCTATTACTATTGGTTTGTTTTCTTGGCTGCTATAATACTTATTTCCAGGGAGTCTCCAGCCTTGAGGCTACTAACCCCCTGCAAATCAATCAGTAGCAACTTTCTCGAAAACGGTCACCATTTTCGAGAGACGCCGTAACAACATATGCTGACAATCACTTCTCTCGTGTGATCTTTCTCGAGCAACTGTACTGAAAGTAACAGAAAACAGGCCGGATTACAGCAAGACAGAAATACTCCAATATAATCTGTCTGAGGATCAACCTGATATATATTCAGACGCGCGAAGTTCCAAGCTTGACTAAAAAATCACTGGGACCTTCTGCTAAAAAACAAGAGTTAGGAAGCAGGCGTTAGACACACAGAGCGACACCTAATACAACATTTCACAAATTATCAACAACTAACATACACCAAGTTTTCTATCCAAGGGAGTGTTGTTAGTTCAATTAAGATAGATGGCTATTATTCTGTTTGCGTAGCTGGGCAATCCGGTTGCAAACTTTTCCTCATCAGCCGAGGTGACATCACCAGTGCGCGCGGATTAGCGCTGGGACGTTGTTTAACGGCGGGTGTACACACTGACGCAAAGCGAGTTGACTACGCAGTGCCTATTCCACCTCAAGTGGTAACGGAACGTCTGAAAAAACAAACTGTTGCGTTCAACGAAGAAAGCAGCCACACCCCCGGTGAAATGTACTCACCTTAAAATTACTTTGGTTTGTTTACGAGAGACTCAGCTTAATCTCCGGCTTTAACTGAATGTGCTGTACCATGAAGACTACGCCTACCGGATAATGATGATGAAGAGCGAAACCGGCAGCACCGAAAAGCTTCCAACAGCCTAATGAGTAGTGATTTATATACATAAAAAAAATTATCTTCCTTGTTCATTGTCAGTCTGTCTTGGTGGTCAAAGCAATTAGTGTCACACACTACCAAAGTAAATGACCAAAACCCTTATATGGGCTATTCGGACACGAATCACAGACAAGGTCAAAAACAGAGAACACAACCCGGACAAAGCAGTGCCTGAGGGGTAGGCCCATTGAAACTCATCTAAATAAGCATAGTACTGGTCTGTTGTATAACTCTGCATCTTAGCAGCTCACTACTTCCTAACTCCCTCCCCAACTTCCACTCTACCCCCTACTCCCTCGAACACACCCTAACGAATTCGGCGTCATTGTGCTTACACAAGAGGCTCCAGTAGACGATTGTATTAGACAAAAGTGGATTGGTGTGCTGGTCAAAGGGAGGACGATCGCGGAAAGAATATGAACTGTCCCGTTAACATGGCCGGTTCCCGTATTTGCGAGCAGGCTACGCGCACCAGGTAAACCAGCATATACGATCTGATCTATCATTCTAAGAATATTTACTAATATCATATGCAGCTGACATATATTGAATAGAGATGGCAAGCTACAGTCCCACACATCACACACGCAATTTGCGTTCGATATGCATAACAGCATGAAAAATGCAGTTTAAAACATCCATTACTATTGGCCATACGTTAGAAGAACAGCACATTCCACATGCTGATTTCAAGTAGTTGGAATTAGAAAGTGGTCTTTATGCAGGGGGTGGCTGGACATGTAAGTTCAGCATATATTCCAGAACGTCTACGTATGAACAGCTACTCGTGAAGGTGACGAATTTCTCCGGTGTTTTAAATGACCCACTTCACCATCAATTAAACACGCATATGCCCGCGCGTGCATATGCGTATAGCTACGGTGGCACTTGTGTTTCTTCAATGAACAACACCGATAACACACAAACCATGCAACCACACCCGTGCAGTTTGGGTGATGGGTGTTTATACTATTTCGGTTGACCTGTAACCGATGGGACAAAGCATAGGTGGCATTCATATCGAGTGCATTTGCAGCCAAAGCGTCATCCACCAAGCCACTTGGTACACTCGAACCTACAGCGTTCCAAGCTTCAGAGAATAAATAGGGTATATTGCGTTGCTAAAAGGAGACATCATTGGTACGCATTGATGTCGTCCCTTAGATTGGGGAAGAAAAGTGCGGCGAAAACATCAACGGTCACTCGATCTCACTTGCACCATTGGAAATATGCCAACTTTAACGGATTAATGAAAATATAAAAAAGTATTCTTCTATCCATCGAACTGATAATAACAATGGGAGAAATGTCCGCTGGTTATTGAATTCCACGAGATGGATTCAGGCAACTAGTGTACTGATATCACAAGGGGCTTCTGAAAGCTCCAAGCCCCGTTGCGTGTAAATAATTACGTCTGACAGAGATAAAAGTTTATGAAGTAAACAGCTGTCACAGAAATACCAACAGTTCGATATCTGAAGCCGCACAAATGTAGGATAGTAATCAACCAAGGCAATACACACCATGGCAAATGAATACGAAGTAGCCAGCCAAGCTATGCCTGGATGACAAATATACTGGACTGCAGATTTTCCAGAAGTGTCAAACAGGGAATACACTATCGTACTAAATTTCCACCGGTATGATACTGGGGTCGTGTTGCTCTGTCAGATAGGCAACTGACGATGAAAACGTACACAGCCTGGTCGATTTGGATTCATCACAACGATAGGCTTGCAAATTTTGTGAATTACTGACCAAATGGTTGACGTCCATTTAGATCTGCTCATGGTGCCGTACGGAAGATCTGAACCCTGAAAAAATTACTCTACCTCTCGCTTCTTATCACACAACCAAACCACATTGACTGACAGAGTTTAACATTAAATGTAACCTCGGTTGCGTATAGTTAGGCTTAACCAGCACACTTTAAGGCGAGTCGCGCCAATCCTGTATGTTACGATTAGAAGCGCACATGGATACCGTAAATACGCACAACTCTATATGAGATTAGGAAGCCACTGAAAGCGATAGAATTAATGTTGCTAGTTGAGAGGTCATGTACGTTTAGCTCACTCAAACCTCCCTAAACGTGAATGAGAATACTCGCATGACATTTGCCCCAAATGGATTCCAATAAGTGATGCAATACATGAACGAAGACCAATACTATTCCATCGTGACAACGGGAAAAGGTCCGAAACAGAAATACCCCAAATGGTGTCCACAGCACCACGAGGGCCGCATGACTTGACATGGCAGGATAACAAATAATCATATACGGTCCAAAAAATCAAAGTTGCGATAACGTATTTCAAACAAACTAGGTCATACGCATCAATCGTTCCGGCACTTTCTACGGAACTCAGTAAAATCCTTATCGAGGTATCTTAAGGACTTTACCGAGGGAAACATATGTAGTCGGCCCAATCCCCGAAATCAAAATTTAAAAAAAATCAGAGTAACCATTGCAGTACTTTAGATACGGCTTTTAAATGAAACCAAGCCCATACACAAACAATAACAATCAACAAGCAAATGTGAAAAACAAACGTACCGATTAGGTTGTGAATGCTCAGAAACGGATGGGCTACCGGGAGGGGAAGATCGCAAGTCTTCTTTTGTATCCTCAACTAGCTGCTCTTCTAGTGATTGCCTCAAACGCTTCTCGTCCGCCAAACTCTGCTCCATACTGGCTAAATTCGACCGTTCAGTTCGACACTGTGCGGACAATTTGGCCAATTCCGTTACTAGTGCTTCGTGCTTCTCCCTCTGGTCGGACAAACAAAGTCGGTTTAGTCTGTCCTCTCGTTCTAAATGAGTCAGCTGATTACGTAATTGTGACTCGACTGCGCGCATTGATTGGACCTCAGTACGAAGGCGACGAACGTTGTTCTCCAGTCTTAGAAGATTAACAGAAAGTAGGACACGATATTACAAGTTTAAAGACACACAGAGTCAGACTTTTAACAAGCCATCCCATTACGGGTGGACGACTGAGGATATTCGGAACCTAATCTGTTCATAAATGAGTATGGGCAATTGGAAATGGAAATGTATGGTACATTAAAGTGCGGTATTACGTTGTTTTGTCACATGTTGCACCGCATTCTCTTCAACACCGAACGGCTATTGTCATGGATAATTGTAAATCAGAATCAAGAGTGAAGTCGAATTGCACAAATAGGACCTAGTACAGCGTCTGCAACAGCTCATTTGGGAAATAACGGTCTTCTGGTAAATGGTAGGTCGTGTGTCCAACTTGTATCTGGTGGTGGTCGGACTGCTGGTTTGTTGCAGACGTTTCCTCACCAATGCGGATAATAAGGTCGGCGGGTCGGTGTGAGGCGCAGCAGAACCATGCGTCGACGTAGAAATCAACGCACTGGTGATTGCCTCGATTGGTAAGGGCAAATCTGCAACAAACTCACCGAGCTCAGGAAACAATGCGACCACCAACAGAACAACTTGAGCTACCAAAATTCTTTTCTCTATCTTGATTTGTGATGGGCTTGTGGTTGAAAATTCCAGATAGATTAAATCCTCTTGTTCATTAGGCCGAAATCTTCTGGAAAATTACCTGAAAGACAATAAAAACTGCATATTTTCCAACATTACTGGGAAGCCAAAACATGAGGCGCCGAAAGGCCCTACACGCACATGTGAGGAAAGCGGGCAGAGGCTGTGATTGCAAAATGTGGCAGAACATCCAGCATTCCGTATAACGTTTACTGCTTGTGCATTTCAGGTGAAACGAGATGCGAACACAGCCCGAGGCACAACAGCGTACCCTAAGTTTGACTCCAGCACGTATGAACTCATGCATACCATCAAAAGAGCTGCCTGACAGAGGGAGTGATTGTGTTGACTGCACAAAGCTTCATTGGAAAGATTAACCGAGGGTAAGTCATGGAAGGAAGGAATCAAGCACGTCACCTTAATTCCCTATTATAACGACATACCGATGCATACTGCATTCGTAATGTTTATGCAATTATGGGTCACTGAGGGCGACCCCTTATAGAGCTGTCTAGCTGATGATTAAAACATCTTGATTCCTTTCCTTTTATCGTGACATTGATAACATCAGTGTGAATAAACCGGGGCTTATCTGTCGTAAAGTCAACGCAATTTATTCTGACAAAGCCTCATATAGAAGAGTCTATGGTACTATCCCATCACAGTTCCAAACATTCATTCAGACAGCTTGCGTGGATGCCACTCAGATGTACTGGCGGACGTCATTGGTAAATAACGATGTTTTGGGCCCAATCCTCATAGGGAAGATACCATATACTGTATGCACAGTACAATAAGTTAGTTGATCAATTAATGCGAAAAGAACCACTGGTTTTCTGGAAGAGGAAAACACAATCCATAACGCAACGAGACTAAACCGTAGTAGGCCTGTGGCAGGTCACGTCAAACGAACTACTTTGCTTGGCGACCGGGTAACGTATTGTTGTTATATAATATATAACATATTATATATATACATATATTATATATATATATATTATATATAATATATAATAATAATAATATAATAGTAGACGAAGGAAAGAAAATCGGCAGATAACGAATGGCGACTTGACCCATGGATCTTGCCACCATCGTTTTCGTCATCACTGCGGTGGAGATCCTGTGCCTTAGCGGTGGTCTGAAAGCTCGACTTTGGAACATCAGTGGATCACTGGAAACTACGATGAAAATGAACCACTAATGGTCGTTCCTTTGTTAACCCTACGTTGACCCAAAGTCAAACTACGCTCAAATAACCAACTTTTTCCTCCACTTCACCGCCACTTGTGAAACTAAGTCCTTAGACTAATAAGCTATTTTCACTGTGATAAGACCTATCAGAAGCTGAAATTCCTCAATTGTCGTTCATGTATGATCCTCTGTGCTGCAGAATGCAAGGCTTTCAGGCCAGAAGAACGTGCGAGAATAAACAAGTTTAGGAGTTTCGGTAAAGTCGTTTAGACCCAGAGCGATAAGCGTCCGAATATGTATGGTTTGTTCTCCAACACGCTAAAAGTTCACGCATCCCTTAATAGTGGCGATGCGCATGTTACCCAATGACCGAGAGCAGCATGGAACACAATGTCCTAAGGCATGTGTAGAAGAGTGTCCCGGACCTATGATCGCACCTGCGTGTTCGACAGTTTTTCTATTTCCTGTCTGAACCGTTAACTGTTTTACCACATGATTAGGCAGTGTAAGCATCAGCAGACGCTGTTCTGTAAGCTTATTCGTGAGGATTGTTGTGAACTGTTTGCCACTTAGTTGTGTATCCAGCAGTTCTTTTGACAAGACAGTGAATTATATATGTGCTACTTTCGTAAAAGTAATTTTCCATCGTCTTGGAACACATCTCGGACAATAGATAATGAAAATGCTGATACACAGTAATTCTCCCGGGCTTTCATACACTAAGATTCATTGTAAATTGGAAAAGAGTGAACCAACAGTAAATTGCGGTGTAGGACTTTAAATGTGGTTTCAGTGCTTCCAATTTTACCTCCTGGCAACCCTCGAGAACTCCATTCCTAGCTTACCGAGTGTAATGGTCAAGGTTGTACGGAAATAATCGGTTGGGCGCCATCTGTCCCTTGAAGTGTAATACTACATCTTCCGCTCACGTGCGCCCATTCTTCGGTTTGTTCTCACGTACCACACAAGTCGGCAGTTTGTTGTGTACGCTTTTGCTGTGCTATCAAATATCACCCAAAACCTGATGACGTAGTTGTGAGATTTAGTTGACCTGGTGGCACGACTTGTTCAGCTTTTCAATAGTATTGACTCTTTTCCTACAATGAGCGGAAGATGGGACTTCGCACAAGTTCTCAGTAAAGGTACGTCTTATTTTTGCAAACGAATCACCTTGCCAATCTTCTTGTGGGCTGCATTCTGCATCAGAATAAAGGCACCGTTCTCTTTAATTAAACTGGTTTCGCCCCTCTGAAGGACGTAGTCCTAAACTATTCAGTCCATCTTAGGTCCACTAAACAGCTATGTCGATAAATCCGATAGTCCGCGTAAGAAATAGCTGCGCACGTCTAAAAAGTAAGAGAATGGTTGGCCATTCTAATGTGAAATACGATAGGCCGCTCTGCAAAGACTTCGTCAGCGTAGCATAATCCAAGGGTCATGAACACACGTGCCTTGTGCACACACATGTGATGCTGTGCAGATGGGCTTGTTGTTTATGATGCAGTAAAAGAGGCAGGCAATAAAGACAAATGGAATTCGACTCAATCACGAAACAGAGAGATTCACTTAGCATAACCAAGGTGACCAACATTATCGTCGTTCTGGTTTCGGGGAGAACTTTCGCACCCGAAACGGAGGCGCTTGTATTTGTTTTAAATCCGGAAGACTACTCAAAAGGAAAATCTGCCCCGCTTGTAATTAGCACACGAATGGGTGCTCTTTAACCTTCATGTGTTCGCATTTTGTTAACTTTGGTGACATTTCCGGTAGACTGTTTCCATCTCAGTAATCGTTGAACTCCAACAAAAACATCGATTTTTTATAGCTGATGATGTTGATAACAATGACCGTTTTCCAGTGCAAGAATCTGCGCTCTGTTGAAAGTTTTTCGATCCACTGTTCAAGTATGAGTGGCCCGAAATACCAAATTAGGACCCCGTGTAAGCATAAAATGATAGATATAAGGTTAAATAATAGACTGTTAAAACTTCACATGTGCTCACAAAATCGGAGGAGAAATTAACGAAATAGACAACCGTTGGTTTGTTCTCTGAGCCGGGCAGTTTGATTAGTACATTGGTTTCATATCACCGTTCGAGGTGAGATCATCAGTGTGCTGTTGGGGTGCGTGGTAGAGTGTGGCGATTGGTCGGTGGTTGTCGTCCTAAGTAATTTTAGTAATTTTTAGAAAGGAATTTCACATTAAAGCTCGTAATCAAAATTTAGTTCAGTGGAGTTACGCACCTACATACCAGATGAATTCACAGCAACCTACAGTACTTTACTGAGCTTGTGTCCGATACTCACGAGAACGGCATCAAGTTGGTGTGCGCTATTGTGATTCATCTTGTGCAGTTTTTTTTTTGGGGGGGGGTGAAGAGAATGTATCTGCGACTGTGCACAAAGCAACAGGACTTCTAGGTCAAACAAGCATCTTCTTTGCCCCAAGCAGTCAAATAATTCTGTAATCTTGTGACGCGATGAATATGTCCATGATGACCCATAACAGTGGGTAGATTTGCTTCAATTTTCGAGACTTCAACTACAGCTGCACTGACCAGTGAGCCAGTTGTAGTCTTAGATCTAATTTTTATTCATAAACAGGATGAAGTGTCACATTTTGTGCTTGTTCTAGGGTGCGATGGGAACATCTAGAACCCGGAGAAATCGGCTATCGATATCTGATCCAGAAACTAAACACATCGTTTGATGCAGCAGGAAATTTTGATCGGAAAAGTGTTCGCTTGTACCTACATGATGGGAACCGAATGCAGTCTTTGAGCTCAGGTGGAAAATTGACCCAGAAATGTGTTTTGCAGTTTAACAAAGATACTGGTGAAAGGTATCAGCAGTCGAGGGACTATGACGGCGAACCTAAGCAACTGACTGACTGGAAATCCAAGATCGAGACGTTAGGTGCCCCAGATTGTGCCGTTATGGCTCGGGCTCTGTCGTCTAAGCCTACTCCTGACCCCTTGATTGCTCCCACCACAACTGAGAAACCAAGCAGTATTTCAGAAGAGTTACTTCATACGGATTATGAAGCAGCTATTCGCAGAACTAGTACCACAGTTGGATGACCGAATTTGAGCTTCATCTGAAACAAAGCTATTGCACTAATCCATTAATCCGTCATAAGCAACGCTGGAGTACAATGCAATGCTTACCTCGTCGAGAGATCCTCCCTGGGATAACGGCTGCCTCCTGATTTGTTCGAAGCGACCTGCTTGCCTTTAGTTTGTGCTTCTGATGAATGCATCCCCTCTGTCGGATGACGACGACTGGTGCTAGTCGACGTTAGTGTACTGCTATCCTGACCACCATTAGAAATGCGCTTCGGTGCAGCCCCATCCGCCACAGTCGACGTTACAGGGCCTGTTCCATTGTTTAATGAGTGCGACGTACTAATGATTCAGAGAAAGAACGAACGGTATCAAAAGACTGTAATGCCAGAGCAGGGCAACAAGAATTCGGCTACACCAAATAAGGAGATGGACTGATAAAAAATGAAATGATAACAAAAAATCGCTTCAGAAGTATTATGCTAAAGCATAATAGCCTGATTTGCACATCAGTTGGGCTGGATATTATAGACAGCTAATTTATGACAGATATCCATGACCTGTCCAAAACTTCTCTACTATATGAAGTATATAAATATAGAACACCAAGTGAACCATAGCGCTATCACCATTTCCCTATCGCCCCGGGGAACTCGACCACAGTAGGTCCAGCTACGTTTATCAGGGTGTGAAGTCA